CCCCAATGCCTATTACCTATATTAAATGGTGCTTTTCTATCTTTTATATGGTACATTACGTGTGACATGTTTATAGTTTTCCCCCAATACCTACTACCTATATTACCAAGTGCCTTTCTACTCTAAACCAATCTGTGAGTGCCAACATCACCAAGAACATGAAGGCGAGGAAGAAGAAAGAGGAGGAACAAGACCAGCCCAAATCCCTCCATCTTAAAACTTCTGACCCCCATGTACAAAGTAAAAACCCCCCTGTAGAGGTGTTAAAACCCCCTTGTACAATACTAAAAAATTCTTCCCTCTACTTTGTGACTACTTCTACTATAATATCTAAACTTTTGTGACTTCTTGTTCCACCTGAAGGTTGGTAAAACCTTGGTTCCGTGGTTCAAACCCAAAATCCCAGCTGTTTCCAGCTGCCTGCCAGGGCCTCAAATGCTTCTGACCTGGGCCCAGAACATCCAAAAATGTCTGAGGGACATTCTGAGTTCCAACACTCTGGAGTTTTATTCCTTTACAAATGGGAGGTGCTCATGAGCACAACCATCCCACAGTGGCTGCCCCAGCCCTGCAAGTGTCCCAAGCCAGGCTGGATGGGGCTGGAGCAGCCTGCACAGTGGGAGATGTCCCTGCCCATGGCACTGGATTGGCTTTGAGGTCCCTCCCAACCCAAACCATGCTGGGATTTTGGGATTCTGGGCTCTGTGTGCAGCCTTGCCCCAGGGAATTCTGTCTGGGCAAACTCCTGCAGATGGGAAAGAGGAGAGGGCCTGGCCAGATCCCACCTCAGGGCTGTGCCAGCAATTCCCTGTGAACCCCAAATCCTCTGGATCCTGTGCAGGCACAGCAGGCTCATCCCAGAGGGTCGTGTCCCTCGGGGAGAGCTGCAGCACACCCCAGAGCTTGGGATTAGCCCTGATTCCAGCCCCAGGATCTCTGCCCAGCTCTGCCCTGTGCAGCACAGCCCCACAGCTGGGCCCAGGCACGTGGGAGGCCTGTGGTGGAGCAGGGAATTGAGGATTGAATCCAGCCCTGGATTGCAGCTCCAGCCCAGCCCAGGCTCCCAGGGCATTGTCTACAGAGCACAGCCCAAGGCACCACAGAACAGCCACAGAATTCCATCATTCCCAGAAAATGGGGCTGGAGATACTCCTTTGGGGATTGCTGAACAACTGCAGCCACGAGGCCTTGGAAAGCACTGAGTTACCCGAGTGCACGTCAGTGTGGCATTTCTGAGCTAGAAAAGGGGTGTCACTCACCCAGGCCAGGCTGGATGGGGCTCTGAGCAACCTGGAAGGTGTCCCTGCTCATGGCAGGGCTTGGAATGAGATGATCTTTAAGGTCCTTTCCAACCCAAACCTGATTCTGATCTTGGATCAACTCCAGTGACATCAAAACAACTTAAAAAACCATCAAGATCTTCGTACCTGATGAAGCAGAAATTAAAATATGAGTGATTGCTCTGGCAGCTCCTCACATGCTCCAAACTCTGCAAAACAGGAACAGAGCACATGGGATGTTTCATTCACATTGGTTGGATTAAAATCAAAACAAACCCAGAAATGCCAGGGACACATCAGACTGTTCCAACATGGCATCACCAGGGATCACAAAGATGATCCCAACATTTGAGGCCCTCTGCTCTGCAAACAGGCTGGGAGAACTGGGATTGTCCAGCCTGGAGGAAGGACAATTCCAGTGAGACCTTAGAACCCCTTCCAGTGCTAAAAAGGAGCAAGAGGGACTTTTTATATGGGCAGAGAGTGCCAAGACAAGGAGCAATGGTTTTAAACTGCCAGAGGGCAGGGCTGGATGGGATATTGAGAAGGAATTGTGCCCTGGGAGGGTGCCCAGAGCAGCTGTGGCTGCCCCTGGATCCCAGCCCAGCTCTGTCCTGGGCTGGAGCAGAAGGAAGGGACTGGGGAACAAGGAGGGAGGGTGGAAAGCAAGAAAAGCGAGGGGTGGAGAGCAAGGAAAGGGGATGGAGAGCAAGGAAGGGAGGCTGAAGAGAAAGGAGGGGGCACTGGAGAACAAGGAACGGGTGCTGGAGAACATGAAATGGGAGCTGGAGAGAAATGAGAGAATAATGAGGGGGGGCTGAAGGGAAATTAGAGGAGTGGGAACAAGGAACAGGGACTGGAAAACAAGAAATGGGTGCTGGAGAGTGAGAATAAGGAGGGGGGGCTGAAGGGAAAGGAGGGGAGTGGAAAACAAGGAATGGGGGCTGGAGAACAGGAAATGGGGGCTGGGGAGTAAGAGGAGAGTAAGGAGAGTGGCTGAAGGGAAATTAGAGGAGTGGGAACAAGGAACAGGGACTGGAAAACAAGAAATGGGTGCTGGAGAGTAAGAGGAGAATAAGGAGGGGGGGCTGAAGGGAAAGGAGGGGAGTGGAAAACAAGGAATGGGGGCTGGAGAACAGGAAATGGGTCCTGGAGAGTAAGAGGAGAGTAAGGAGGGGGGGCTGAAGGGAAATTAGGGGAGTGGGGAACAAGGAATGGGGACTGGAAAACAAGGAATGGGTGCTGGAAAACAAGAAATGAGTGCTGGAGAGAAAGGGGAGAATAAGGAGGGGGGGTTGAAGGGAAAGGAGGAGAGTGGGGAACAAGGACTGTGGACTGGAAAACAAGGAATGGGGGCTGGAGAACAAGAAATGAGTGCTGGAGAACAAGAAATGAGTGCTGGAGAACAAGAAATGGGTGCTAGAGACTAAGAGGAGAATAAGGAGGAGGGGACTGAAGGGAAATTAGGGGAGTGGGGAACAAGGAATGGGGGCTGGAGAACAAGGAATGGGGGCTGGAGAGAAAGGGGAGAGTAAGGAGGGGGGCTGAAGGGAAATTAGGGGAGTGGAGAACAAGGAAGAGGGGCTGGAAAACAAGGAATGGGGGTTGGAAAACAAGAAATGGGTGCTGGAAAACAAGAAATGGGTGCTAGCGAACAAGAAATGGGTGCTGGAGAGAAACGGGAGAATAAGGAGGGGGGGCTGAAGGGAAAGAAGCGGAGTGGAGAGCAGGAATAGAGGGCCTGGAGAGGAAGGAGGGCGATGAAGAAGGAAAGGGAGCTGGTGAACAAGGAAGGAAAGGTGGATATCGAGTAAAGAGGCTGCAGAGCAAAGCGGGGGCTGGAGGTGGAGGAAAGCGGGGCTGGAGAGAGGCAAGGCGGCGTGGGGAGAGAGGACGGGGCAGAGAAGGGGCAGGGCAGCGGGGAGCTTCCCGAGGGGAAGGAAGAGGGAAGGAATGAAGGAAGGACAGAAGGAAGGACTAAAGAAGGACTAAAGGAGGACTAAAGGAGGAAGGGCCGGGCCGCTCCTACCTCCTCGCGGCCATGGCGGGGGCGGCGCTGCCTCGGAGCTCCCGGCAGCGCCGGCCCGGCGGCTCCGCCCGCTGCGGCGCTGGGGCTGCGGGGCTCTGCTTTCCCGGCCCAAAATTACCGTTTCTGCCCCAAAACTGCTCCCGCAAGGACGCGGGGAGGTGGCAGACACCCCGTGCCCAGCTGGGCATCAGGAGAGGGGTTTGGGGGTTGGGGGTTTGGGGTTTTGGGATGGTGTTCCACAGGTGAGATCCCTGCAGAGCTGCCCCAGCCCAGGAGGAGCTGGAGCTGCTGCAGAGAGCCCAGAGGAGGCTCCAGGATGAGCAGAGGGATGGAGCAGCTCTGCTGGCAGGAAAGGCTGGCACAGCTGGGATTGTTCACCTGCACAGGAGAAGCTTTGGGCTGAGCTCAGGGTGAGCCCCAGGAAAGCTGGAGAGAGACAATTTCCAGGGATGGAGGGACAGCACACAGGGAATGGCTTCCAAGTGAAAAATTACAGGTTTAGATCAGATATTAGGAAAAATTTCCTCCCTGTGAGGTTGGGCACAGCTGGGGCTGCCCTGGATCCCTGGCAGTGCCTAAGGCCAGGTTGGACACTGGGCTTGGAGCAGCCTGGGACAGTGGGAGGTGTCCAGGTTGCTCCAAGCCCTGTCCAGTCTGGCCTTAAACATTTCCAGGAATGGAGAGTCCACATCTTCTCTGGGCAGCCTGTGTCCGGCCTCACCACCCTCATGCTAATGAATTTCTTCCTAACATCTGTCATAAACCTGCCCTCCTTCAACTTAAGGCCATATTTCTTTGTCTTATCAATACATTACGATGTGAGAAGTCTCTCTCCAGCTCTCCTGGAGCTTGTTCAGGCTCTGGCAGGGGCTCTGAGCTCTCTCTGGAGCTTCTCCTCTCCAGCCCTCCCAGCCTGGCTCAGAGCAGAGATGCTCTGTGAAACAGCTCTGTGGCCTCCTCCAGACTCTCCAGCAGCTCCACCTTCTTCTGGAGTTGATTTGGAGGCAGCTCTGCAAGTGGGGTCTCACAGGAGCAGAGTAGAAGACAATCCCTTCCTTCAGCCTGCTGCTGGTTGTGCTTCTTCTGCACCGCCAGCACATCTGGGGCGCGATGGGATCAGCTCAAATCTCAAGGCCTGTGTCCAAGACAAGCCAAAGGCTTCCAAAGAAAAGAAGCCCTTTGTGATTTATTATTTAACACGAGCGAAAATAGGAATCAGGTCGCTAAAAAGGAGTTGGGAGTGAGTGTGGGCAGGTATCAGGTCCCTCCTGTGATTCATTCCCTAATTGCTTCTTCAGTCAATCCGTGGAGATTGGAGATTTCACTGGACATTATGAATTTAAGTCACACAGTTTGGATCTAAATTGGCACTTTTGACCACTAACTCACAGTTATTCAGAGGTGAGAACATCCAGATCTGCTTGTGGATTTAAAAAATGCTCAGATAATCAAGTTATCCTTGTCTTGGCTTTATTTTCCCAAAGGACAGACTATCAAAGGGAAGCACAATCACAGATTTTTCCTGGACTTTCCCAAGATCCTCACGGAAACCATCACATTGATTTCCTCAGGACTCCATTATCCCTTGACCTGTGTGTAAATTTAATCAACACTTGCACAGCTCTTTGCACTTCCAGCGAGTTCCCTGTGTGTGACTCTGTGAATCCCTCACTGCTGGCATTCCCAGAAAGTCAGGGTGACTCCGGGCTTGTTTTATCCCTTGCCCCCAGGTTCTCATGGATCACACACTTGAGATCTTCGGGGTTCAGAACCTGGCTTTTGTACTTCTCTCCCCAGTCCTCCACGATGTACTGGTGATAGGGATCGTTGGAGTGCTCCCTCCTCTTGGATTTCACAGTGCTCACCAGGATGGCCACGATGATGAAGGAGAACATCCCAATCATCACCATCAGGTACAGGATGACGTAGTCAAAGTTTTCAGCAGCCACCTCAGCCTCCAGTTTATTCGCTGCTTCTGTCATGTTCCTCCTCCAGCTGTTCATGTAATTGAGGAAGGTTTCCTTGAAAATATCTTCCACTGCCCAAGTGAAGTTTTGCAGCTTGGCCATCCTTGCTAATTATGCTGCTAAAGACAAGAAAATATTATTTTTTAATCAGATGTCTGTATTAAAAGAGTTGGTTTTGAGTGTTTTGTCAGTGTTATGTCAATTATCTAGTAGCAGTCACCTTCTGACACTTGAAGGTGCAGCTTTAGCTCAGCTGAGAATCCCCATCTCTGGGTGGTCGGTACGTTCAGAGACCCAAGAAGGTTCTACTCAGAATCCTGGAATAGTTTGGGTTGGAAAGGGACCTAAAAATCACCCAGTGCCACCCCTGCCATGGCAGGGACACCTCCCACTGCCCCAGGCTGCTCCAGCCCCAGTGTCCAACCTGGCCTTGGGCACTGCCAGGGATCCAGGGGAATCTGGGAATTCCATCCCAGGCCCTCATTTCCATCACGGGGAACAATTCCTTCCTAATATCCAAAATAAGCCTTCCTTCTATCAGTGGGAAACCATTCCCTGGCTCCTGTCCCTCCATGCCCTGGAAATTGTCTCTCTCCAGCTTTCCTGGGGCTCCTCCAGGCCCTGCCAAGGCCACCCTGAGCTCAGCCCAAAGCTTCTCCTGTGCAGGTGAACAATCCCAGCTGTGCCAGCCTTTCCTGCCAGCAGAGCTGCTCCATCCCTCTGCTCATCCTGGAGCCCACTCAGGTCCCTTTGCTCTGTGGGACACTTTGCTGAAGTCCCCCGTGGCCCTGGCACAGGGTTTGTGGCACTGTCCCTCCCCTACAGAGGTGAATCTCCAAGGGAAGAAGGATTGCTCCTGAGGAGAAGATAAAGGCATGGGAGGGACATGGAGGCTGAGACTCCATTCCTGGAGTGGCCTCAGAGACCATTTGGGACAGTCCCCAAAGGGGAAGAGACACTGCCTGGTACTGCAAAGCTGTGTTTGATCCCATTTGTCCCAAAATTCAGACCCCAGTGCTGCTCAGACCCCATGAACCAGGTGTGTCCCACAGGAGGAAAATCCCCCTCTGGCATTCCTTCCCACACACATCCCATTCCCACAGGATCCCATTCCCACCTGATCCCATTCCCACAAAGATCCCATTCCCACAAAGATCCCATTCCCACAAAGATCCCATTCCCACCAAAAACTTACTCATTCCCACCTGATCTCATTGCCACACGATCCCATTCCCACCAAATCCCATTCCCATTTCCACATAGATCCCATTCCCACATAGATCCCATTCCCACATGATCCCATTCCCACAGGATTCCATTCCCACACAGATCCCATTCCCACATGATCCCATTCCCATTCCCACATGATTCCATTCCCACACAGATCTCATTCCCATTCCCACACAGATCCCATTCCCATTCCCACACAGATCCCATTCCCACAGGATCCCGTTCCCACATGATCCCATTCCCACATAGATCCCATTCCCACAGGATCCCATTCTCACACAGATCCCATTCCCCATTCCCACACAGATCCCATTCCCATTCCCACACAGATCCCATTCCCACACAATCCCATTCCCACAGGATCCCATTCTCAACCAAACCCTAAAACCTGTGGGAATCTTCCCCCAAAATCCCTTTGTTCCTGGTCCAATCCTCAAGAACAAGGAGCTGGCTGCAGGAAAGGGGAAGAGGCAGTGAATTTTCATTGCTAATAAAAAATTTGGGATAACTTCCAGTTCAGGAATTCAGGAATTCAGCCTTGTGTGCACACAGGGATTCAGGCGCACGTGCAGGTGGATCCCTTTGCAGTTAAACCCTCACACATGCTCAAATATAAGTGATAAAGGGAATTAATGAAACAAAACGAGAAACTGTAAATGCAAACTGCCTTCACTGTCTGTAAAACCGGCTTTTTCCTTGATTTGCATCAAAAATTTGCATTTTTCAAGAGGAAATAGACTTGTAACAGCATCTTACCTTTGCCGTGTCCTTCCCTGAGGAGATTCAGAACACTCAGGATTTTCCAACTCCGCTGGATAATGGGAAGAAACTCCCCAAAAGAGCAGGGATGTTTTAAGGAGCCTGCACAAGGCTGGGAGCAGTTGCCTGTGCAATAAGTGCCTTGCACTGCACGCCTTGTGTTTGTATTAAATTAAAAGCTGAATCTAATCTCACCTGGAAAGTCAAATATTGGCTGACAGCTTGCATCAGTCATCCTGTCGGATCTGGGATTGAGCCTTTGAGCTGATTGCTGCAAGTTTAGATATTGGAAAAGAGCTTTCCTGGGGATAAACAGGGCTGCAGCTCCATTTCTGGTGAGCCAGAAGAGTAAAGATGAGCTCTGTAAAATAATAATAATAATA